TTTCTGTTTTAAGAGGAATTGAGGCTTGAAAGCCATTCTAAAATTAAAATTAATAAAGGCAAAAAATAATTTTGAAAGCAAATACTACAAAACTTTAGACATTAAAATTGGCACTGTGTAGTCTATGAAAACATGTCTATAAATGCATGGGAAGTAATAGTACAGATTCCAGATATGAGCAACTTATTGCAGTTATATACTTAAATATATATATATTCCAGATACAAGTATACTTACATATTCCAGATATAAGTATTTCTTTTACTTGAAAATTAAAGTACCTTTTAATTATGTCCTGTTGTGGCTGAGGACTCTTTCTGGGGAGAATAGGTCCTACGTTTGTGATGAAAAATTCCAAATAGACTTTTGCTGATGAAATACAAACAACCCTTTTTTAAATTTTTGAACTGTCCCTTGACTCAGGAATCAGCCTGAAACATGGTTATGCAGAAATACTGAAGGAATAAAACAAAGGTTTAAAGTCTCTAAAACAGACTTTTCCTTTTAGCCAGTCTTGAAACATATCCCAAATACTATATAATCTGTCCATCCTTACGAAGATGTTGAAGTTTAGGCCATGAAATTCGGCTCAAGCCTGTAATCCCAGCACTTTGGGAGGCCGAGGCGGGTGGATCACAAGGTCAAGAGATCGAGACCATCCTGGTCAACATGGTGAAACCCCGTCTCTACTAAAAATACTAAAAATTAGCTGGGCATGGTGGCGGGTGCCGGTAATCCCAGCTACTCAGGAGGCTGAGGCAGGAGAATTGCCTGAACCCAGGAGGCGGAGGTTGCGGTGAGCCGAGATCGCGCCATTGCACTCCAGCCTGGGCAACAAGAGCGAAACTCCGTCTCAAAAAAAAAAAAAAAAAAAGTTGGTGGAAATGGTTTTTATATACTTTATGCTCATTTTTCACAGGTTCCCTTTTTGAATTTACCTATTTGCTAAAATGTATTTGTAACCCCATAATATAGCACTTTCATAGTCATTCAAAGTATGCACAGAGCATCCAAATATTTGAGTGCCCAACATACATGTTCCGAGCTGACGTCGGAAAGGTGACACCATTGTTTCAACTCTCATACTACAAATGAGTGTCCTTTTAACAGTATTTAGTGCCATGTTCTTCACATATTTTGCTTTTTTTGTTGATTTTACTGTTTAAAATGACCTCTAAACTTAGTAACAAAGTGCTATCTGGTATTCTAAGTACAAGAAGACCTTACAGAAAAAAATAGGTGTTTCAGATAGCTTTATTCAGGCATGAGTTACAATGCTATTGGCCATTCAATGTTAATATATTAATATAAATAAGATGTCTTCAAACAGAAACAATGTAAAACAATGTTACGTGTTGATTTTGTTGAGACATTCCCAGGAACCTCTATTTTACCTGGTAGCAGTGGTTCAGCATTCATTAATTCAGTGGCCGCAAAGACGTTACCATAGGTAACAAGAATTATCTGTAACTTTTTAAACATTTTTATTGGGATATAATTCAGATAAAAAGTTCACCCATTTGGAGTATACATATCAATGACTTTTTAATACAGGTCGAGTATCCTGGATCTGATATGCTTGGGACCAGAAGTGTTTTGAATTTCAGATTTGGAGATACTTGCATTACCAGTTGAACATCCCTGATCCAAAAAATCTGAAGTGCTCTAGTGAGCATTTCCCTTTAGTGCCATGTCAGTGCTCAAAAAGTTTCAGATTGAGGAGCATTTTGCATTTCAGATTTTCAGATTATCAGTGTTCAACCTGTATATTCAGAATTGTACAACCATCACCACAATTTAAATTTAGAACATTTTATCACCCCAAAAAACCTGTACCTATTCGTGGTCACCTTCACACCTACTTCCCCAGCACTAAGCAACCACTAACCTGCTTTCTGTCTCTAAATGTCCTTGTTAATTATCACTGCCTTTTGTCTGGCATCTTTCACTTAACATGTCCCCGGGGCTCAACCACAGTAGATCATGTACTTCATTCTTTTTTATAATTGAACAATATTCTTTTGTATGGATATACCACATTTTATTTATTATTTGGTTGTTTTTTGTTTTTTGTTTGCCATTATGAATGCATCTATACCCTTTCAAATAACAGTTTCGTGTGCAAATGTTTTTATTTCTCTTAGACCATACACCTAGGAGTAGAATTACTGAGTCGTGCTGTGTTTAGCTTTTTGAGAAGCTACCAAACTTTTCTTTTTTCTTTTTTTGAGACAAAGTCTTGCTCTTGTCCCCCAGGCTGGAGTGCAATGGTGTGATCTTGGCTCACTGTAATCTCTGACTCCCGGGTTCAAGCAATTCTGCCCCAGCCTCCTAAGTAGCTGGGATTACAGCCACCATGCCTGGCTAATGTTTGTATTTTTTGGAGAGATGGGATTTCACCATGTTGGCCAAGCTGGCCTCAAAACTCCTGACCTAAGTTGATCCGCCCACCTCAACCCCCCAAAGTGCTGAGATTACATGCGTGAGCCACTGCCCCTGGCTAAGAGTCTCATGCTCTACCGACTGAGCAAGCCAGGCTTGCTTCAAACTTTTCCAAAGTGGCTACACCATTTTGTATTCCCACCAGCAATGTATCAGGGCTCTAACTTCTGCACACCCTAGAGTTTCTTGTTCGCTCATGAAGAGAAGACTCATTATTTTACAGTCTTATCATCTGGGACCATTTAGATGTAATAAAGCACTTTGCCCTCCCCCATAAGGTTGTTAGACTGCAACTGCAATTCTTTGAAAAGTGTTTTTAATTCTCTCAATTTGCTTCTTCTGCTTTCTCTCACTTTATTGGATTTTAACTCATTTTCCTGTTCCCAAGATTCAGTCATGAAAAAATCTGTAATGTCCTCACATCTGATAGAGGTCATATTGTAATGGGAGTGGCAATCACTGAACCACTGAAAGCACAAATACACAATTACATAAAAAGCAATGGAGAAAAGTTACTAGGAGAGAATGACAAAGGAGGCAAAGATGAGCTTAGAGATGTCTAAGGGTGTAACATTTAAACAGGCCTAAAAGATGAACAGAAGCCATCAGGGAAACAGTAAATTGACTCTTCTTTTTTTTTTTTTTTTTTTTTTGAGACGGAGTTTCACTCTTGTTACCCAGGCTGGAGTGCAATGTCACGATCTCGGCTCACCGCAACCTCCACCTCCTGGGTTCAGGCAATTCTCCTGCCTCAGCCTCCTGAGTAGCTGGGATTACAGGCAAGAGCCACCATGCCCAGCTAATTTTTAGTATTTTTAGTAGAGACGGGGTTTCACCATGTTGACCAGGATGGTCTCGATCTCTTGACCTCGTGATCCACCCGCCTCGGCCTCCCAAAGTGCTGGGATTACAGGCTTGAACCACCGCGCCCAACTGGAAACAGTAAATTGAAATGCCTTCCAGTCAGAGAGGAGCCTGTGCAGTGACCCTGACCTGACTTAGGAGAAAATCTATCACTTCCACCAACCTTAAAGAAGGGCAACATGCCTGGAACCTAGTGAGCCAGAGGGAAAAGTAGTAGGAAAATGAGATTGAAAAGGTGAGCAAAGAGGATATAGTTCATGCCATCTTGAGAATTTAGCTGTATTCTAAGTTACTACTTTTAGAGTGAAATGAGAAAGGAAAAATCCCGTAAGCAAGGGAATGACAGAATCCAATAAGATCAACTCTAAAGGTCTTGAACAATCAGCAGATAATCAATTATGCCTGTGGAAAAACAAAGTGCTTTATCTTGTGCTTTCATTAATGACCAATAAGGGCTACTAGTATGAAATTTGCTTTTCTTTTTATTTTTGTGGGTACACAATAGGTGTATATATTTATGGGTTACATGAGATGCAATTTCATCAGGGTAAATGGGGTATCCATCATCTTAAGCATTTACCTTTTGTGTTAACAAACAACCCAATTACACTCTTTCAGTTATTTTTAAATGTATAATTATTTTTTACTGTAGTCCCCCTGCTGTTCTAGCAAATACTAGGTCTTTCTAATTTTTTTATACCCATTAACACTCCCCAGTTTCCCCAGCACCACTTCCCCACTACCCTTCCCAGCTACAATTTGCTTTTTAAAACTATTCATCAGCTTGCTTTGAGAACAAGAAAAGACAAACCTAAGCATAAATGTTAAATTTTTTAAGGTCCCAATGTTGATTTGAATATGCTCAAAGGATCTTTATTCACTAGTTATGTTAACTAATTGTCACACCATACTTGGACATTCATTCCACCCCCATCTGCCACCCCCATCTTTGAGCTGAATCCAATCTCAATTCTAGTCCCAATGAAAGACCATGGAGCTCCACCCTTGGAACAATTTGACTTATCTAAGACACTCCTTCTGTCCCCACCCCCACTATAACATACAAAGGTTCTTGGGGCTGCTTTTACCTCCTCCTGCATTCAGACTTTTGACCTAAGTCCATGATTCCTGTTGCCTGATCTCCCAAATCATGAATCCCCATGTGCCCATGTAGACTAACGCCCAGCCTAACTCATCTTTAAGTCCGTATCTCTTCATTTGAGCCCAACAATATAGGATTCAGTTCTTCCCCATGTGAAATGAAATCTCCTTGGCTGGGTGCAGTGGCTCAGTCCTGTAATCCCAACACTTTGGAAGGCCAAGGCAGGTGGATCACCTGAGGTCAGCCTGGCCAACATGGCAAAACCCCGTCTCACTAAAAAATACGAAAAAAAATTAGCTGGATGTGGTGGTGGGTGCCTGTAATCCCAAGTACTTGGGAGGTTGGGGCAGGAGAATCGCTTGAATCTGGGAGGCAGAGGTTGCAATGGGCCGAGATCGTGCCACTGCACTCCAGCCTGGGCGGCACGTGAGATTCCATCTCAAAAAAAAGAAAAAGAAAAAGAAATCTTCTTGTCCAGCTCTGTCCCTTGCCTATCCAATCCATCAATCTTACCCTGTACAGGCACAACCCAGAGCCCAGTCTGGCCTCTTCCGGTCTAGTTTCTGTTGCTGCATTAAAAAACACCCTTAAGTGTAGGACTGAGAAGGTGAGGCAGTTGTGCCCTGTGCTGCCTAATACTGGTTAAGACCTCCAAATGGGAAGGGCTGCCCAGGCAGAGGATGTCCCCCTGCCACCTTTGGAGGGGCAGTGCTGGCCAACATTCGTGATGCTGCTTGTCCCTAGCTCAGGTGAGGTCAAAGGATGAAGACGTCAAAGTCAGTGCTTCTCACCCTTGTGCCCACTTTAACTCCTAACAGATGGCATTCACCTGTGCAACACTCCCTCTGGGCATTGTAGTTTTTAAAGACACTCAGAGAGGAAAAAACATGACAGTAATTGGTCACCTCTGGCACTATTAGGAGCACATCAGTAAGAATGACTCTCAGACTTTGGCACAAGTAAAAGAATCTGTGGGTTTATGTGCAGCTTCCAGGCTTAACTCAAGAAAGCAAGCATATCAGAATGCAAAGCAATACTTAAAAAAAAAACAACAAAACCCTTAAACCTAATGGTTTAAAACAAGCTTATCCAACCTATGACCCAGGATACCTTTGAATGCAGCCTAACATAAATTCATAGTTTCTTAAAACATAAGATTTTCTTTGTGGTTTTTTTTTGTTTGTTTGTTTTTTTAGCTCATTAACTATTGTTAGTTAGACTGAGGAAGGAGACCCCTTTCTCTGAAGCATCCAAGACCACTTCCCCTTAGCCTTCTACACTGCATTTCAAAAGGAGAAGTGAAAGTTGAAAACAGAAGGCAAGGCCGGGCATGGTGGCTCAAGCCTATAAGCCCAGCACTTTGGGAGGCCGAGGTGGGTGGATCACGAGGTCAAGAGATCGAGACCATCCTGGTCAACATGGTGAAACCCCGTCTCTACTAAAAATACAAAAAAATTAGCTGGGCATGGTGGCGCGTGCCTGTAATCCCAGCTACTCAGGAGGCTGAGGCAGGATAATCGCCTGAACCCAGGAGGCGGAGGTTGCGGTGAGCCGAGATAGTGCCATTGCACTCCAGCCTGGGCAACAAAGAGCAAAACTCCGTCTCAAAAAAAAAAAGAAAATAGAAGGCACAAGTTCAGTGGAGGAGACAAAACCGGTGCCACTAGCTGGACCTGGAGGTTAAAGATTAAACCCCCAACCCCAGTTCCTATCCTATCTATAGATGGCAGGCATGGTATGGAGGAATCTTTCCCGGAAGGCATTGTTCTTGCTTAATCATGATTAGACCCCCACCTAAGCATGCACCCATCACTTACCTCATTGATCACGACTCTCTCAAATGTATCCTCTAAGATTGTGAACCTTTAAAAGAGGTCAGGATTTTCTAGTTGGGGAGCTCATTTCTTGAGATGCAAGTCTGCCGAGACTCCCAGCCCAGTAAAAAGCTACTTCCTTCACAAACCTGGTGTCCGAGAGGTTTTGTCTGCCGCGTGACCTGCTACAAGACAATTTTATGTATTAGATGTATTTTATGTGTCCTTTATGACAGTTCTTCCCATGAGGCCCAGGGAAGCCAAAAGATTGCACATCCCTGGTTTAAAACATCCAGTGGGCCTTGGCTCACACCAGTAATCCCAGCACTTTGGGAGACTGAAGTGAGAGGATTGCTTGAGGCCAGGAATTCAAAACTAGGCTGGGCAACATAGTGAGACCCTGCCTCTACAAAAAATAAGACGTTACCTGGTTGTGGTGTTGCACACCTGTAGTCCCAGCTACTCAAGAGGCTGAGGTGGGAAGATCACTTGAGCACAGGAGGTTGAGGCTGCAGTGAGCCATGAGCACACCACTGCACTCCAGACTATGCAACACAATGAGACCCTGTCTCAAAAATTAAAAAAGAAAAAACAATTATTTCTGTGACTTACAAATCTAATTTGGGCAGGGCTCAAATTAGAGGAGCCCTTACCTGTGATCTACAAGATATTGGCTGGATGGCCGGGCGCGGTGGCTCAAGCCTGTAATCCCAGCACTTTGGGAGGCCGAGGCGGGTGGATCACGAGGTCGAGAGATCGAGACCATCCTGGTCAACATGGTGAAACCCCGTCTCTACTAAAAGTGCAAAAAATTAGCTGGGCATGGTGGCACGTGCCTGTAATCCCAGTTACTCAGGAGGCTGAGGCAGGAGAATTGCCTGAGCCCAGGAGGCGGAGGTTGCGGTGAGCCGAGATCGCGCCATTGCACTCCAGCCTGGGTAACAAGGGCGAAACTCCGTCTCAAAAAAAAAAAAAAAAAAAAAAAAAAAAAGATATTGGCTGGAGTAGCTCAACTGGGGGCTGGCATATGCCCGTCCAAGATGGATTACTCATGCAGCTGGCAAACTGACACTGGCTGTCACTTCCTTTTCATTAAGCAGCTTGGGCTTCCTCACAGCATGGTGACTGGGTTCCAAAAGTAAGCATCCTAAGAGGCTGAAAGTGAAAACAGCCAGTTTCTTAAGATGTAGGCCCATAAATGGCAGTGTCACTTCTACCATCTTCTATGGGTCAAGTAGTCACAAAGCCCAGATTCAGGAGAAGGGGACATAGAGGGGTGTCAAAAAAATCTTAGAGCCCTGTTTGAAAACTTCCACACCTACTCATCTACTCATTGCATTTGGGTGATTTTTTTTTTTTTTTTTTTGTATGTGTTTCTTTTGCCTTTGCCTTAAGGGGCATTTTTCTCGCTTCAGATTTGCTTTTAGGACTGTTTGAGAAATTCTGAGTTGTAACCTGTAGCTCTGGGTCTATCCATTGGTCAGGCACTCCAATGATTTAACTGGAAACAAGAACTTACCGCCTAGATTTTTAATTAGAGCAAAGCAGTTTCATCAGGTTTATAAGGTAATTTCCAATGCTATATAAACATCTCTAAGTTATCTTCACACAAGACTCTCTCAACCTTAAAGTAGAACTAGTGTAGGACACCTGCCCACTCCCCTCCCTACACAAGTCAATAATTCTGTATATCTGGTCTCCTGATCGGTAAGTGGTATAAATGAGCATCATACTCATGAGTCCAGTGGTTTGTTTAAAATAGATTGACATTCTCTCTTGGGATGTGTTACCTTGGCTAGCCTATGGTACCCAACTGTTGGTCAAACAGTAATGTAGATGTTTCTGTGAAGGTAATTTTCAGACATGATTAACATTTACAAAAGCAGATTACCATTATAATGTAGGTAGGCCTCATTCAATCAATTGAAGACCTTAAGAATAAGGACTGAGCTTTCCCAAAGTAGAAAGAATTCTGCCTCAAGACTATAACATAGAAACCCTGCTTGAGTTTCCAGCCTGCTGGCCCTCCTTACAGATTTCAGACTCAGAACTGCTACATCAGCTCCTAACTGCATTTGCAGCCTGCTGGACTATCCTACAGATTTCAAACTTCCCAATCCCCAAATTGCATGAACCAATTCCTTCAAATAGAAAAAAAAAAAAAAAAAATCTTAAAATGTATTTAGATATGGAAAGAAATAGATTCTGTCAGCTCTGTTTCTCTAGAAAGCGTGAGTTCACCTTTTGTAATATTCTGTGCATTAATGATTAACGTGAACTTACAAAGATTTGCAAGGAAAAGATCAACATAAATCTAGACTGCTAGAGGCTCTATATACAACCTATGTTTAGAGATTATCAGTGATATGGTTTGGGACTTTGTCCCCACCCACATCTCATGTTCAATTGTAATCCCCAGTGTTGGAGATGGGGCCTGGTGGGAGATGATTAGATCATGAGGATGAATTCTCATGGATAGTTTAGCACCATCCCTTTGGTGCTGTTCTCATGAAACTGAGTGAGTTATCGTGAGATCTGGTTGTTTAAAAGTGTGTAGCAGCTGGGCATGGTGGCACACTCCTGTAATCCCTGTCTTTACTAAAGACAGTTTGGGAGGCTATGGCAGGTGGATTGCCTGAGTCCAGGAGTTCAAGACCAGCCTGGGCAACATGGCAAAACCTTATCTCTACCAAAAATACAAAAAAATAGCCGGACATTGTGGTGCAAGCCTGTGGTCCCAGTTACGCTGGAGGCTGAGGTGAGATAATCACTTGAGCCTACATGTCAAGGTTGCAGTGAGCTGAGACTCTGCCACTTCTACTCCAGCCTGGTCAACAGAGCAAGACCTTGGCTCAAAAAAAAAAAAAAAGTGTGTACCATCTCCCCGTCTCTACGTTCATCCTGCTCCTGCCCATGTGAAGTATCCCCTCCTTTGTCTTCTGCCACAAATGTAAGTCTCCTGAGGCCTGCCCAGAAGCCAAGCAGATGCCAGAATCATGCTTCCTGTACAGCCTGCAGAACTGTGAGCCAATTAAACCTCTTTATAAATTATCCAGTCTCAGGTATTTCTTCATAGCAATGCAAGAATGGACTAATACAATCAGTCTGTGATACTGGACACAAAATTTTGACAGTCTCCTCCTCATAGCCACCAAGCCAAAGTGCCATTGCCAACATGGTGGTGGTTTCCTCATTTGCGGTAATGTATGGGATTATGTTTACATTTAGTTGTACATAATATATACCCTCAAAGCTGATTAAATGAGTCACTCAACACTGCTTACAAGAAAAGACTTAAAAGATGAAAAAAACCCTGCATCTTTAGAGTAAAAACAGTGATGTTGACTGGTTCTGAAGTTTCTGAAAGGCAGAACAATAGTGGGAAAAATATGTTTCATAATTGATTTGCAAACAGAAGTGGAAAAGTTACTAGGCAATAAACCAGCATAGCTCCAGAAGAAATACCTCTTGTCAAATTAATGTAATTTTTTTCAACAGAGTTATTTGTCTATTGGAACAGGAGGAAATGATGGAGGTCATTTGTTCTCAGTGTAGCCAGGCATTTTATCCTGTCTGACATTATGTAGTTATTTGTAAACCAGAAAAAACGAACAAAACATGATCTAACACCTCAGTTCTTAAGTGGGTGTGTTTGAGAATGCTAAAGGATTTGTTCTCAGTTATTTTCAATAGATCACTATCAACAGCAAAGCAAATGGCATCTTCAGGTTTCCATTGTGATGTGACTGTGGCTAGAACTATGGTACCTGGCAGTGAGTAGCCATGGGCAGGAGAAAAGGGTACCCACAACTATTGCGGATTTTTTTTTTTTTCTTGAGATAGAGTCTCACTCTGTCACCAGGTTATAGGGCAGTGGTGTGATCTCAGCTCACCGCAACCTCCAACTCTCT